TGGGGCCATGATGCTGATGATAATAATAAGCAGAATGATGATGGTGATGATGATGGTGGTGATGATGAAGATAATAATGATGATGGTGATGATGATGATGATGATGATGATGATGATGATGATGATGATGATGATGATGATGATGATGATGATGATGATGACGATGATGACGGTGCCGACGAGAAGGGCAGAGGCAAGCAGCGCGAAGGGGGGTGGAGGGGGAGGATGAAGGAAGGAAGGAAGGAACGCGGGGCGCTGTCTCTTCAAAACGAGGACCCAACACCACAGGATGGTTGGGACATAAAAAAACATGGTTTCGCAACAAGGGTTTTCAAAAAAAAATGCGCCCGCGCCCTTTCAAATTCTTGAGAAAGCCATCGGTTGTTCAACATGTTCATAAAATCATACCAGACGGGCCTCTCGCGCGCGCATGTCGAAATCGCTAGAACGCCCTTGCTCGCGTGCTGTCGCAAGAATATGTTGCAAAACATGGGACGACGTGCACAACACGCGCGGGTCGTCGCGCGCGCATGCCGAAATCTGTCGAAAACCCTAGGTTTCGCAAGGATGTCAAAGTCGAGTGCCCCAAAGACATCTAAAAGCACATGGCTTCGCAACAAGGGTCCTCAAAAAAACTTGCGCCCGCGCTCTTGCGCCAGCAGAACTGCCGGCGCAGCCTACGGCAGGTCCGTGTCGTGCCGACTGCGGCGTTGGTTTCTGACACCGCGGGGATCGTTCAACCTTGAACGATCGGCCGTCTCCGCAACGTCCAAATGTTCAACATCGAACGATTCTGGGTCGCCCGCGGCGTTCAAAGTTGAACGCCGCTGGCGGGGTCGCCGCCGGTCGACACGACGCGAACCTACCGTAAACGACTTGTTCCGCCCTTCCTGTGACGAGCCCCTTTCGCGAAACCTTCCTCGCCCCCGAGGCCCCCTCCCAGCCGCCTGCCCGCGGACGCCACCGAGAAGCGGACGGAGAGCTGTCACCTCATCAGAGTCTGCCCCCTCGACGTCTCCCGGAGCCCAGTTCCGCCCGGGATGTCGATGCGCATCTGGTTCGCGGCGACAAGCGGGCCCCCCGAAGGCCCAGAACAGGCAGAATGATGACGACGTCAACGGCGATGACGCTTCTCCCAGGGGGCCACATGCGAACCCTATCCCCACGATTTCTGAGGGGGAGGGTGGGGTTCACTCCGCTCGGAAACGGAGTGAACCCCACCCTCCCCCTCGGAAATCGTGGGGGGTATGGGGTAGGGTTCGCGTGTGCCCCCCCATCTCCTCCCCTCCCTCCTCGAGCTCGCGGCTGAGGGCATGCGAACCGTACCACAACGCTGCCCTCCCCCCCCCTCCCACGCCGGCTGCCTTCGCCGCTGGGGGGGGATGATGATGATGATGATGATGATGATGATGATGATGCAAACCCGTGGAGACCAGGTCAAGCCTGGGCACGACCTCACACTCAAGCCTGGGGGAACTTGCCACCACTCTTGGGGGGAAGACCACAAGCCAACCTGGACAAGACCTCCCTCCCAGCCTTCGTGGGGGGGGGGCGAAAGAGAAGCAGCAGGAGCACAAGAGAGCGTACAGAGAGGCGGGGGGGGGGCGGAGGGGAGGACGGGCTCCCCAGGGGATGGGGGGAGGCAGAGGTCTCCCAGATGGGGTCCTCCTCCTCCTCCTCCTCCTCCTCCTCCTCCTCCTCCTCCTCCTCCTCCTCCTGCTCCTCCTCCTGTGGTCGGAGGGCTGCACCGCATCGCCGATGCGGCGCGAGTCTCCGAACCCGTCTGCTCGGACCCTGGGGGGGCTCGGGTGGGCCCGACGGCAGGAGAGCCCAGAATCGAATCGATAAGTCGAATCGGCGATCGAAATTAAACGGATCGGCGGAAATCGGCAGCCAAGTCGGGAGGAGTCGAATCGGCAGAAATCGGCAGAGTAGCAATGCCTCAGTGGGAAGGCGGAATCCAAATCGGAATCCCAAGTCGAATCAAATCGGAATCGGAAGCCATCGAAATCGAATCGAATCGAATCGAAGGAGTCGAAATGAGCCCTGCGACGGGGCCGTCGTGAAAATGGCGAGACCCAATCTAGAATGACGGGAGCTACCGCTGCAAACACCCCGGAAAAAAACTGGGCCGTCAAAATCCAGGGCGCGCGCGCGCGCCAAAAAGTGTCGGCAAACCCGAGTTCTGGCGCACTCGAGTCTCACGTTTCCCCGATAGAAGGCCTAGAGGAAGGGAAGTGAGACATTTGTTTTTCTTTCCCAAGGCATGGAAAGCGCAAGTATAACAGATGAAGCAAAACATGCACTGACTAGTGCGAGCTCGGTAAGTCGCCTTTTTTGAACCAGTTTCGGCCCAGAGACCGGGCGTGGGCAAGGAGGGCACGGTCACGAGCTTCTGCTCGAAGCCGTTCCTCTAGTGGCGGCTCTCTGCAGCTGCCACCAATTAGCTGAGGCCCACACCGACTCCTGGCAAGATGCTTGAGGTGTAGACGACTAGAATACACATGCTGGCACACTGGGCACGTGAACGCATCCCCCGCGTACTCGTCAAATGCCCTGCGCCTCTCGTGTGCTGACGTCTGCCGCGATGCGAGCGCACGCGCGGGCCACGCCTGGTCCGCGGCCGCCCCTGGCGCCCACGCCAAGGGCGGCCTGCGCAGTGTGTTCCCCTGGCAGTCCCCTCACCACCAGTGCGACCTCCCCATGCACCCACACGCGTTCACAGTTGAGGCGGCGTGGCAGCGGGCAGCCGAGCGGCGGGCAGCACCTTGTGAAGAACTGGCAAAGTGGCGGGCAGGATCCCAGGTTCGGTGACATGGAAGGAGGCGGACAGCAGATCAGCTTCGATGAACAGCGGACAGCGTCAGATTCGAAGGTGTCGGTTTGGAATAACGGCGAACGGCATATCAGATCTGGTGGAATGGAAGGAGGCGCAAGCGTGCGGGTGGAGGCTGAACAGGCAGGGTAAAAAGCTACAAACCCTTCGAGCCTGGACGTCAGGGCTGCGAGCAAGCGCTAGGTGGCGGCAGTGGCTCGCTGATACGGCTGCGGGCAAGGCTGGGAGGCGCAAGTGGTGGGGAAGGGTAAAGTCCAGGAGCGCAGCAGGATGGCGTGGCTGGGGCAGGCGGCTTGCCACAATTGAAGGGACCCAGGGTCGCACAAATACGCATATGGACACAAATCCCAGGATTCCCCATATTTCCCTATATTTTCTGGGTCTTCGTCTTCCCCCCCACTTCCCACATTTTCCTGTTTTTCTCCAGTAATCGATGATCATTATGTCTGTGTGTCTTTTTGTTGTCCCTCCTAAACAGTGGCCCGCGGCTACCAGAGACTGCACCCAGGAGCGGCTGACGCCAGCAGTTTGGTGTTTCCTGGGCCCTCCGCGCCCAACGATAGTCAGCCCACCCCTTCCGCTCGCTCGGGTGTGGCAAAACGTGTGTCTGTTCCGTGGGCGGCGAGGCCGAGGCAGCAGCACCAGCGAGCAGGCTAAACGGGGGCGCCGCTGTAGCGAGCTGGCCGGCATGCACGAGCGGAGAACAGGGCAGGGCGGGCGGCCGCAGAGGGGGGGGGGAAGCGAGTGGCCACTCGGGGGCGGACGGGTCTGGCAAGACAAGGGGTAGGCTCGTGTGCTGCACGGGGGTGCTGGAGCGAGGTGCGAAGGTTGCCTGCCTGATGTCATCTGCCGGTCCAAGCTGCCACGATTGCATCCAGTGGCTGACTCAATTCTGCCCTAACCTTCTGTGGCACCTGCAGTTTCCCACAATGCGCTCGCTCTGGCGCTGGAAGCCCACCAATTGCAAGGCTCCACCCGCAGGAAATACTCACCTATTGAAACCACCCACGCTGAAGTTGTTTCCGCAGTCGAGAAGTTGCCGTCGGCCAAGCTAGCAAGAAGAATGCGATATATTCGTCGCCAAGCTACCATGTTTGTCCAAAAACTGACTCAGCCATGCCTGGTGCATGTACCTGCCAACCGTGCGTTGACTCTGTCGCTGCAAATAACCACCGATTGGTCCCCTAGCTGGCATACACACCACTTGATACCATCCACGCTGCAAATCATTGGTGAAGCTGTTGCGTCGAACAAGCTAGCAGAGAGGTTTGGCGCATGACGTCACCAAAGTTTCGTGGTTGTCACCAGGAGGTGGTCCATCTGAGCGTGGCATCTGTGGCTACAGCAATATGTGGACTCTGTTTATGAAAATACCCAAACGTTGACCCACCAAACTTAAAATCCAACCCGCTGAACCCACCCATGCTGGACATTGATTGGACAAAAAACACCGCCGTCGGAGGCATGCTGAAACTGAAAAAGAAGGGTGAAAGATCCCGTCTGCCTGCAGGCTGGGCTTGATGGACGACATTGACGCACGTGCGCAAGGCTCCAGCGTAGGGGCACCCGTCGCGGGGCTCGTGAGGCGGAGCGTTCGCCGCCCTACATGCACTGGCACCTCGGAAGGTTGGACCGTGTCACGGGCCCGCGTGCGGAAAGGGAAGCGAAATCGATGGGTGGCTGGCGCTCCGTAGTGCTGGGGAGCGAAGGGATGATTCCCAAGCTGTGGTATTCCTACTCCTCCTCCTGCTCATTCCTCTTCCTTCTGCCCCTCCCCTTCTTCCGAAATCGAGCCTTTCTTCGGAAAGGATCCCCTCCTCTTCTTCCTTCGGGGTTGACAAATGCGGGGGCAAAGACGACGGCGGCGGCGGCGGTGTGGCCTCCAGATGACCAAAACAGTGAAGACACCAAAAACTTCACAAACACTTCAAAAATCGTCGCCGTTGCAATCAACCCGTATCACAAGGATGCGCGGTAAGGATGCAAGGGCCTTGAAAAACCACGTCGACACGATGCGAGCGGGGCGCGGCCAGCGAAAGCGGCCAAGGATGGGCCGAGGGGAAGGATGCGAGGGTAACCTTGGAACGCTGATCGTCCGTACTATGCGGGTTGACTGTAGTTGTCCTGGGCGGCGGCAGCGGTCGGCGACGGCGCCGCATCGTTCCTGAGGCGCTGCAATGGTGGACGTTCTGCGACTGCGACTCTCTGGTCTCGTGGGGCCACGGGGCGCGCCGCGTCCTCTTCCTGTCGCTGGTGCCCCGTCCCTGCCGTTTTCCGCTCGTCATCACAAACACCTGCGTGATAGCCACCATCGTCATCAGAATCATCACCACCATCACCATCACCACCATCATCACCATCATCGCCACCATCATCATGTTATTTGCATCACCATCACCACCGCAGGTCATCACCATCACAATCACAGGCCCGCCTCAAACAACATCATCATCATCATCATCATCATCATCATCATCATCATCATCATCATCATCATCATCATCATCATCATCATCATCATCATCACACCCTCGCGTCCCTGACGCCCCTCGGCCTCTTCCCTCCCTGCACCTCGACGGCCTCTTCCGCCTCATCGTCCTGCTCCCGCCTCCTGTTCCTACTACTCCTCTTTATCATGCTTCGCCTCCAAGCACATCGCGGCGTGACGCCGCACCAGAAGGAAGCACATCACGGCGACACCGGCGATTAGCGACGACACCTGGCCACCAGCTGGAGGGCGACAGGCGCGACGCGAACGGCGACCGCTTCAGCGGGGGGGGGATACCAGCGACTCTTGTGTTTGTTCATGCTGCTCTCTGCAAGCGAAGGGCTTTTGCTCTGACGATTCGGCGCCTGATCCGCCAGGTTCGTCGTGGGCGGTGGCAACAGAGGCGCCTGGTCTGCCCGCGCTGTTTTTGGTTGAACTTCGGTTCACTCCTCCCACTTGCTGCGTTGGGCCTTGGCGCCAAAATGTTGATTCATCCTGAACGGCAATGCGTCTAAAAGGTTGTCTAATTTTACAATTGATGCCTTCAACATTGCACCTCAAGAACCAGTCTGGACATTCATCGTGTAGGCACGATCCTAAATTTGCATGACGACGTTGGGGTACAAGCACCTTCAAAAAGAGTGGCTTGTACCAGAATGGCAGCGGACATTACATATACCTCCCCATCCAACGATTCAGCGTATCGAGCCTCGATGTATGCAAATACGTCGCTCCAATGTCTAAAATCTTCTACATCGACGACACAATTGAAACTGTTAGGCACTTTGTCTGAACGAGGCGCTGCACATGTCAGAGCTTGATGTCTACATGCTTCAAGAATACAACACAGAGTCGCCATGCGATTGACCTGCTTCTACATCAGCGGACATGTCGTATCCCAGTTCTTTGATCAGAACGGCGCTCGCCGTGCTTCTACGGCGCCAGAGGCTATAGGCTCGGCCTCGCCCCTTGACTGGGCGATGACGTTCTGGGCACGGTTGTAGTTAGCTAGAACACAGGAGCCCCATATGATTACCCCAGCTGGGTCGTTTATCCTAGTCTCTTGACACCCTGCCCAATCTGAATCCACATAAGATGTCACAGTGCCTGCACCGAACCACACATTCGGTGTAGGAATGTTGCTGCTGGCACGTGTCAGATAGTTTGATGTTTGCTTCAGCCTACGGACATCTCTGTGCCTAGGCATTGCTAGCTGTCTGGGAAGCTCCTCTACTGAGAATTGAATATCGCCGCGCCCTTGGCTAATAAACTGCAATTGCCATACAACCCACCTGTTTGTGTTGATGCTCTACCTTGTGTGGAAATGGATTTTCGTCCCCGACAGAGCCCTTTACTGTGAGGGAGTCTTTGGTGCCAGGCGTGGTAACAGGTGTATAACGACAGATGCGCAATCCCGAAGCCAAGATGCCCTCAAGACAGCCCAAGATGGTTCCAAGACGGCCCGACATGGCCTCAAGACTGCCCAGGACGGTTTCGAGACGGCAGAGGGACCCTAGACGGCTCAAGATGACCCCTGGACGGCGAAAGATGGCCTCACGACGGCCCTGAGATACCCCCCAGACGGCCAGGAGGGACCCAAGACAGCTACAAGACGGCCACAGTTGGCCCCAAGACGGCCCCAGGGAGCCCCAAAGAAGCCCCAAGATTGCCCCACAGGAGCACGGAACATCACCAAGACACTCCAAATAAGGTTCATGAGAGATCGTCGGGAAGCGAAAACGGCAGTTGTCGCATGTGACACATTGCTGGAAGTTGGGCAACGCCGACGGGTGTCGCATGTGGCACCTCCGCCATTTCTAGCCCATCTTGCATTGCCATGGTTCACTTATGGAACCGAGTAGGACGATGAAGCGAGAGATGGTGATGGTGATGATGACGACAATGATGGTGATGATGGTGATGATGATGGTGGTGATGATGGTGATGGTGATGGTGATGGTGATGATGACGATGATGATGATGGTGGTGGTGACCAAGATGATCGTGATGATCATGATGATGATCATGACGATGATGAGTAGTATGCGAACTGTGATCAGGATGACGATGAAGATGAGGATGAGGATGTGGATGAGGATGAGGATGAGAATGAGGATGGGACTGAGAATGAGGATGAGAATGAGAATGAGGATGAGGATGAAGATGGGGATGATGATGATGATGATGCGAAAAAGGAGGAGGACGTGGAGGGCTATGATGACTGGATGTATCGCCGCGCACCTCACACAACGACCACCGAGAATGGTGCGATGGCACGACGGCCAGACGTGCCGCAGGACACTTGAGCTACAGCATCATGATACACATGTGTTCATGCTTCTCTCCGCGATATATTCATTGATAACAACATCACGTTTCACATTCAAGTGCCCGTGGCGTTCTCCGAGTAGGCGTGTAAAAAACTATTTCAATCCCACCCCCCACCCCCTTGATATTACCCCAAACACGCGTCATCCTATCCGCGCAGCGTCCTCTGTATCCAAGTGCCTCCCGCTGCTATCCGGATGACTCCCTATATATCCACATGCCTTCCTCTGCTCTGCACATGACTTCCTCAGTATCCGCATTGCGTCCTATGCTATGTCAAAAGTTCCTGTGGACATTCGATTGGCCTCCCAACCATCGCCCAACAATCGTCAAAACTGGCCGCACGGTTCCTGCTGAGCCCGCACGGTTTCTTCTGTTATCTGCATGGATATTCTAATTCCGCATGCCGTCCCCTGAAATAGTGCTATACCAATGGCTTCCTGAAACTATTCCAGAGTCGCCCCAACAATCGCAAATCAATAGTCTATATCAGAAGTGGCTTAGGATAGAGTAGAGAAGAGCATATAAACAAAGCAGACCAGAATACAGTATGGAAAAGAGCACGGTTGAGCAGGCAGAGCAGAGTAAGACCACATAAAGTAGAGCTGAGGAGAGTGGAGCAGAGCAGAGTACAATGGAAGTATAATAGAAGTGAGCAGAGTGTAGTAAAATTGAACAAGTGGGGGTATGGTAGAGTAGAGTAGAGCAGGGCCGAGTAGAGTAGAGCAGACTAGAGCAGAGTGTGAACAGAGTGGCGTGGGATTCGAATGGATTAGCACATGGTAAGTAAAGCACGGTATAGCTAGGGGTAGGGTAGAGGGTGGAGTAGAAACGGGTAGAATATGACAGGGTGGAACACAAGAGAGAAGAGTGAAGAGGAATAGAGCATAGTAGAGTAGAGAGGGGCTTACAATACTGGAGTAGAGCAAAGTAGGAGCAGGGCGGAATAGAGAAGAGAAGTAGAATGGAGCAGAGCAGGGTGAGTCAGGGTAGGGCAGGGCAGTGGAAAAAAATAGGGTTGGGTAGTGTAGAGCAGGGCAGAGAACAGCAGGGTAAGTGGTAGAGAGCCAGTAGACCAGAGCCGGCTACACTAAATTAGGGCACGGTTGAGTAGAGCAGGGAAGAGTAGATGGGTAGAGCATTGCAGACAAGGAACAGGTTAGAGGAGAGGAGAGGAGGAGTCGAGTATAATCAATTAGAGTAAGAAGATAATATGCATGTATTACTTAGAGTAGGGTAGATAAGAATAAGGCGGAATGGAACAGGTAAGGGTAAAGTAGGGTGGGATAGGGGAGAATAGACTACGAGTAGGGTAAAATAGGGAGTTCTGTAGAATGGGGTAGATGGTAGAATAAGGTAGGATAGAACAGAGAGGGGGACAGTATAATAGAGCAGGGTAGAATGGAATAGCTCAGAGTTGAAGTAGGGTCGAGTAGAATAGGACAGACGTCGAGGAGAGTGGATAAGAGTAGAACTGAATGACGCAAGAACTGGAGTGCCCTACGCAAACTTCTAGATCGACCAAAATGCGCAGACCGATTGGAGATGGAGGCGCTGCAAGACGCTGTCTCCATCACTGGCGATGCGGAGATCTTCGGCGACAGGCCAAGACCTGACGCCGTGTCTCACTTGGCTCACGAACTGACTGCTCTGGTCGACCCCACCCGTCTGCGCCTGAACTCCGCGGAGCGGGCCTTGCCGTGCAATCTGTTCAGGCGCGCCCGGCCAGGGGCGCGACTGCATTTTCGGCGGGCTGTTGTCTAGGCCCAGCTTGCAAATGAGAGCCCAGGGCGGTTTCTCGTTGAATCGAAATGCTTCTTCGAATCGGTGCGCATACTAAACTGGATCTGACCTTTCGGCGCAGCTGCGACGCGTTCGCCATTGCTGACCGTTGTTGCCAGCCAGACTCCACTTACCCAGCGTGGTTTCATTCCCTCTGCAATGGGGACGTTGCACCGCGCACTGACACGGTCGCCAAGTTATGCGCACGGGCTTTGGCCTTTCAAAGATGCCTGTCCGTCGCAGCAAGTTCGGCACCGCGCGCGCAGCCAGCCGCGGCGCCGAATCAGCCACGGCGTCGAAATGCTCGTATTCTTCGAGAGCCACATTGCAATGCCCTTCGAGAGTCAGCTCCCGGGCCCGCACGCAGCCTTCCATCGGTTGGTGGAAGCGTTGAACCGCAGCGTCTCATGTTTTGGATGCCACTGGAACTTGTCGCAGATGAAACTGCAGAGAACTTCCGCCAACCCATCTTTTCGCGGCAACCGCGCGCGCTGGGTCGTTGATCGAAGACTCCTCATCGGTCTGAATGAGATTGCCAGTCAAGCATGCGCGCACAAAGCGCCTGACGATATGTCCGACAGCATGCGCGCCAGAGGACCCTTTGTCATTTGCACGAACGCACGCGCCAAACCCACTCGCCACATTAATCGCAGACACCCATGCAATCACTGCCGCGGCGTCTGCCGAAGCCAATTAGGCGGTAGCAATCTGCACAATGGGCATGAATAATAATTGCGGGCGTTTGCCCGCTCTCGCGCGGAGAATTCGCCCCAGCCACTGAACGGAATGCGCGTGAGATGATGTCCCGATCTCGCCTTGAGCGCTGATTAATAAGTGGGGCTCTGGAAGCGAACGGCTTGCGCTTTTCATCGGATTGCACTCCTTCTCATTATCCTCGTCCTCCTGCTCATACTCCTTCTCCTCCTCCTTGTCCTCCTGCTCCTATTCCTGGTCCTTCTCCTCCTCCGCCTTTGACTCCTGCGACGAAGACGACCACGACGATCGACACCACCACCGCCAGCACGACAGCCACCACAGTCGCTTACACCAACACAGCCACCATCACCACGAGCACCGATGTTCACAACGCCCGCGTGCTCCTTGAATCAAAGATGCCGGGAGCGAGTGCGGTGGTCATACCCCCTCGCTTCAAGAGCCTGGCCTTGGCGTCACCGTCCTCTGACCGTTCCAGCTCGTAGGCGAGAGGAGCAGCAGGAAGACGACGACGAGGACGAGGACGAGGATGCGGCCGAGAACGAGGAAGAGGGTGAGGGGGAGGAGAAGGGGGAGGATATCGACGACGACGAGTGGGAGGGGAGTGGACGAAGAGGAAGGAGGGAAGGCGGGCAAGAAGCAGGAGAGACCGTCCACGACGACGACGACGAAGACGACGACGACGACGACGACGACAACGACGACGACGACGACGACGACTGACCGTCGGAATCGAAGTGATGCGGTGCAAAGGCCGTGAGGCCAAAGACAGGGCCTGGCCGTCGGCCCGACGACGACGACGACGACGACGACGACGACGACGACGGCGGCGACGACGACGACGACGACGACGACGACGACGACGACGACGACTACGCGGGCGACGAAGACAACGAGGACGAGGACGACGACGAGGAGGATCGGAAGACGACGGCGAGGAGGGCGGCATCACGATTCTGATCCCTCCCTTTCCTCGCCGTGCCCTGACCCCCCGAAGTCGCGACTTGCTCGCGACGTGAGCCCTCGCCCATCTCGACCTCTCTGTTCCTGGGCGGGCGCCCGAGGACGGTCGACCGTCGGGATGAGCAGAAGAAGAAAAAACGGCATAAACATGAACTTTCGGCGCTCCGCGCGGATTTCTTGGATCCGCGCCAGGGGCGGCGCCGGAGGCGACGCCAGGGGGGGGGGGGGCCCGCGCAGATCCAGGAAACCCGCACGGACAGCCAAAAGCTTCTGTTGATGCCGTTTTGCCTTGTTCGAGTGAGGTGGTGCGGTGCACAGGCCGTGAGTCAGCGGCGCGCACGAGGGGTTAGGGGGACGGGGGAGGGCTTCTTCGAAGAAGGGCTGCCTCTCCTCAGGAGGCGCGGGCCTCACCTCTATATAGACAAGGCCCGCGCCCTCTCAGAAGCGGGGGTGCTTCTAAGCAGCCTTCCCCCCTCCCCCTACCCCCCTCTCTGCGCGTGGCCGAGTGAGGCTCGGGCCGGGCGAAAGGGGGGGATAGCAAAGGGGGGGTTTGAGAATCAGCTCACGTAGCTGATTTTCCCGGCGCCTCCAGGCGCCGGAGGCGGCCATGTATCGAGGAACGGGCCCCTCGGTGGGGCCGAAACCAGCTACATGCAGCAAATTTCGTAACCCCCCCTTTCCCAAACCCCCCCTTCGCCCGACCCGAGAGGCCAGGGTCGGGGCCCGGCCCTCGGCACATGCTTCGAGCGGCGCCCCAGCCCTGGCGGCGCCCCCGCGGCGCAGCGCCCCGGCCCCTGCGCGCGCGGCCTGCGTGCGCCAGCAGGGGCGACTGCAGCGCCTGCAGGGCCGGGCTCGCCGGGTGCACCTGGCGGCAGGCCCCGGCCGCCCGCACGGCTCACCATCGCCTGGACCTCCATTCCTCGTGCACCCTTCGGCCCCGTGCGTGCTGCTTGTTGCAGGATGATCCAAGATGCTCCTCGATGATCCTCGCCGAAAACAAATGCACACGTCTGAGCGATGCCGTGACGACCGGCACCGGGGTCGAGGAGCTCCGGAGGCCTCTGGAGGGCACCGGAAGCCTGCGCGGGGATCTCGGGAGACGCAGGGTCGCGCCGCCTCACGAGGAGAAGGGCGAGAACGAAGGGGGCACGGGCATCAGGAGTCGGAGAAGCAGCGAGCAAAAGAGCAAGGAGGAGGAAGAGAAAGGAATGTTAGCCGGCGTGGGCCCCAGGCAGTGAGTGGCTGCACTGTGGAGATGCGGGCTGTGCGGAGTAGGCTATATGTGGCGTCAGCTGTGCTGTGCAAGCTGGACGGTGTGAGCTACGCGGTGCCAGCTGTGCCGTGTCAGCCGTGCGGCGCGAGCTATGCTGTGCAAGCTGGGCGACGTGGCCGACGTGGCGTGAGCTGTGCTGTGCCAGCCCTGCGGTGCAAGCTGTGCGGAGTGAGCTGTGCTGCGCAGGCGGTGCCGGGCACCCCGAGAGCACGGGGCGCCTGCGAGAGGCGCCCACGGGCGGGCAGCGGGCGAGGCCTCGGCGGCCCCACCCCGGGACGCGCGGGGGGCGCCCACGGAGCGCCGCCGAGGCGCCCTCCGGCGGGCGGACGGGGCGCCCTCCCGCCGGCGTGCCGGCGGGGCAAGAAAAAAAAGAGAGGCCTCGGCGGGGCCGCCGAGGGGCCTCGGCGGCGCACGGCGAGCGCCCGCCGGGGCGCCCTCGGGCGGGCCGCGAGCACGGGGCCCCTCGGCGGCCCCACCCCGGGGCTGCGGGGCCACGGGGGCTCCCGGCTCCGCGCTCCGCGCCGCGCGAGGGCGCGAAGCGCGGCAGCCTTCGCGATCCCCCGCGCCGCCTCCTCGGGGAGAGGAGGAGGAGGAGGAGGAGGAGGAGGAGGAGGAGGAGGAGGAGGAGGAGGAAGCGGAGCCGAAGCGCGAAGCGCGAAGCGCGAAGCGCGAAGCGCGAATGACCAAACTGCAGTCGGGGCGTTGACCTAGGGAGCCCCAGATAAGGAACGGGGCCCCTTTCTCCCATGCGTTGAACCTCGATTTCCCGTGGAAAACCTCGGGAAGACAGAAGGCAAACTGTAGAACAACCAGGGAACGCCGAGCCCCTCCCCAACGAAAAGGGTTCCTTCTGCAGGGCCCCGGCTGTACGCGCCCTCGAGGGCGACCTGGGGCAGGAGGGGGCGCCCACGGGCGAGCGGGCCGAGCAGGAGTCCCTCGGTGCCAGCACTGCTCGGGGGAGGGGGGGGGAGGAGGGGAGAGGAGGAAGCTGGGAGGGCAAAGAGGTGGGAGGGGTGAAGGGGCGAGGGGTGGAGCATGGAGCGGGGAGGAGAGGGGGGGGAGGGGGAGGAGGGAGAGGAAGTCTTCCTCCTCCTCGTCCTCCTCCTCGGGAGGGGAATGGGAAGGGCAGAAGATCTGTGCCTAGATGCCTTGCCCCAGCATCAGAGGGAGATCGCTGTTCGGCCTCCAGTGCATGACCTCCATATTGCTGCTCCCCCATCGCAGGGCAGTGACGATGGCATCGGCCACGGACGTGACGCACCTACCGCACAGACCGCACGCAAAGGCTACCAAGCTATAGCACGCACGCTTGTCTGGGCTCAGCTGGTGCGATGAGGCGCCAGATCGGCACTCGTCCGAAAGGCTTCGGCCTCCTCCCAAGCATACAAAAACGCAGAGACGAAGAGGAGGAGAGCGGGAGACTAGAAAAGATGGAGACGGCAACACCAGGATCATCTCACGGGAAAGGAGAGAAGGCGGAGAGAGTAGGAGGAGAGCGGGACCAAGATACGGAGGAGAGGCCACGGCGGGAACAGACAGGACAGGAAAGGGCAGCGTGAGGGGAAGGGCACGGCTGCTTCCTGTTGTGGCAACGCGAACGTTGTTTTTTCCACGCGTCATAGATCATTGATTGTTGAGCCATATCACAGCGGATATCGTTTTATGCTGGGCGACCTCAGCTATCCAACATCTGAGATCTTTCAATATTGGCCTGGCTCAGGCCACCAGTAGTCTTCAACCTTGAGCCCCCGCGCCAGCGTCGCCGCCGCGTCGACGTGGCGCGAACCTTTCGCAAGCAAGGGACCGCGAGAGTACGCATGCGCGTATGAAAAAGGTCATTAGCTGCGAACGTTCTAATGCACAGCCACCTTCCCCCGCCTTTCCTTCTGATGTAACTCCCCCCCATTCGTCATGCTCCTCCTACTCCTCTACCTCCTCTCCTCCTGATCTGCCTCATCCTCCTCCTCCTCATCAGCATCATCCTCATCCTCATCCTCCTCCTCATCATCACCTCATCCGTATCATCAGCATCATCATCACGAAGACCATCGCCATGCATCACCATCACCATCATCAGCATCATCAGCATCAGCATCAGCATCATCACCATCATCAGCATCAACATCAGCATCATAATCATCATCATCATCACCAGCATCATCATCAGCATCATCATCGTCATTATGATCATGATCATGATCATGATCATGATCATCATCAGCAGCAGCACCATGATCAGCATCAGCATCATCACCATCATCGTCATCATCATCGCCAGCATCATGACCAGCATCATCAGCAGCAGCAGCATCATCATCAGGATCATCACGCCATCGGTATTGTTATCAGATTCGTCATCATCAGCGGCATCATCATCATCATCAGCAGCAGCAGCATCATCATCAGCAGCAGCGCCAGCATCGTCAGCATCATCAGCCTAATCCTCAAACTCATCAACCACATCATCAGTAGCATCATCAGCATCATCATCAGCATCAGCATCAGCATCATCATCCTCAACAGCATCATCATCATCGCCATCGTTATCGCCACCATCATCGTGATCACAGCCGCAACCACCAGCAAAGTCATCACCATCATCAACAGCGTCATCGCCACCACTATCACTGCCACCATCACCACCGTCATCAAAGTCATCAGCATCAGCAGCAGCATCATCACCACCGCCACCACCTTCATCATCATCTCAGGATCATCAGCATCGTCATCAGCATCATCACCATCATCAGCAGCAGCATCAGCATCACCATCAGCATCAGCAGCGCCGTCGCATTCGCCATCACACCCGTCATCATCAATATCGTCGGCATCATTACCATATCACCAGCACCACCACCACCACCACCATCATCATCATCATCACCAGTACCATCACCCGCAGCATCATCGTCATCATCATCATCATCATCAGCATCATCATCATCAGCAGCAGCATCAGCTTCATCATCATAGTCATAAGAATAATCAGCAGCAGCGGCATCATCATCAGCATCATCATCCTCATCCTCCTTCTCATCATCATGAGCATCAGCATCAACAGCAGCATCAGAAGTAGCATCATCATCAGCATCAGCAGCATCATCATCATCATCAACAACAGCAGCATCATCGCCATCACCACCATCACCACCACCACCACCACCATCATCATCATCATCAACAGCAGCATCATCGCCATCACCACCATCACCACCACCACCACCACCACCATCATCATCATCAGCATCATCATCATCATCAGCATCAGCAGCATCATCGTCAACAGCAGCATCATCATCACCATCACCACCATCATCATCATCATCAGCATCATCACCATCATCATCATCATCATCATCATCATCATCATCATCATCATCATCATCATCATCATCATCATCATCATCATCCATTCTTGTTCCCTCTGATCCTTATCCGTCTACTCTTCCTCTCCCTCGCCCTCCCCTCCCCGCATCGACAAGTGACCGATCTGCCGCGGAGGACAGGGGAGCATGGAGGAGGAAAGCGCAGCGGGAGGAAGGTCAGACGGGGGAGGACCAACGAGCAGCAGGGGAGGGCAGAGGAGTGAAGGAGGAGGTGAGGGAGGAGGGAGGGAGGGAGGGAGGGAGGGAGGGAGGGAGGGAGGAGGGAAGAGGGAGGGAGGGAGGGGAGGAGAGAGGGGAGGAGGGAGGGAGGGGATGAGGGAGGAGGGAGGAGCAGCAGCACCAGGGGCAGGAGGAGGCCACCCCTGCCGGCACCACGACGCCATCCTCGAGCATCTGGGGGACAGCCTCGAACGCGCGCGCGCGCGCCCGCTGCTGTGCAGGCACAGGCAGGAACGACAGGCGGGTCCTCCTCACGCCCTTGCATCCTCAGGGTGGGGAAGTCGGGAGGAGGGAGGGCCCAAAGCCCAGCAGAGCATACACAAACTGCCTCGTCTTGCCTCCTGCCTCCCTCTGCCATCCCCTATGCCAATTATCCCTTCCCCGAATACTGCTCTCCTGCCTCCCCCGAAGACGTCCTGAGAGTCGCGCGCCCCCTCGCCGCGTATTTTCTTACATACAGGATGGGCCCCGCTTGGTGTCTCGTCCTCCTCCTATTCCTCCTCCTCCTCCTCCTCCTCCTCCTCCTCCTCCTCCCCTCCTCCTCCACCTCCTCGTCCTCGTCCTCGTCCTCTCCCCTCTGATTCCTGCTCCTCCTCCTCCTCCTCCTCCTCCTCCTCCTCCTCCTCCTCCTCCTCCTCCTCCTCCTCCTCCTCCTCCTCCATCCTCCTCCTCCTCCTCTCCTCCTCCTCCTCCTCTATCTTCTTCTCCTCCTCCTCCTCCTCCTCCTCATCTCCTGCTCCTCCTCCTCTCCTCCTCCTCCTCCTCCTCCTCCTCCTCCTCCTCCTCCTCCTCCTCCTCCTCCTCCTCCTCCTCCTCCTCCTCCTCCTCCTCCTCCTCCTCCTCCTCCTCCCATGTGTTGTCTCGTATGTGTTGCTTCCCGTCCGAACGGTCCCTGCCCTTCCAAAGTGCTGTTTCCGCTGCAGCGCGGGCCTTATTTTGGAATTGGGACGTTGCTCCCGTCGTGCAGAATGCCGTTCGTGCCCCAGCGCGGACCAGATTTCTGGGTACGAGTGTTTCCTCGTCGTTGTCGTCCCCCTTCCTTTGCCTGCCTGCGCCTTCTCCTGGTCCTCCTGCTCCTCCTGGTCCTTCCACTCCAGTTCCTGCTGCTGCTGTTCATCCTCCTTCTCCTTCCTCCTCCTCCTCCTGCTCCTCATCCTCCTCCTCCACCTGCTCCTCCTCCTCGCAATCGCAATCGCAACATAACGGGTCGGCGAACACGGAACAGAGGCTGAGACAGCTCAGACCTACCGAGACGACAATTGGGAGATGGCAGCACCTCCATGCTCCGTGCTCCATGCCCATGACCTTCCGGTGGCACTTACCGACCGCCACGGCGAGGGAGGGGGCGGGGGGGGACCCCGTACTCCCTGCATCACCCTCCACCCTGACATGCCTCACGGACCCCATGCCCAAGATATTGGCACTGCTGGTCTGTGTCGAAATCTCTGCACTTGACGCCTTTTGCATCGCCCTGGAGACTGATGGATGAGGGGGTATGTACGTGCAGCGCTGTGATGGTGCATGCTGGTTTCCCATATGAATACTTGGCTCCCTCATGTCATGATCCCTGTCCGCGCCGCCCACTCGATGTCGATGAGCGGATGAGAAACGTGCATTACGGAGGCGACTCTCGGGCAAGCAGACATAGTCTTAGATCACTATCAGGTTCTCTCTGCTTCCCCTCCGGGTGGGGTTGCAAAAGGTGGCCCGAATCAGGAGGACCGAGAACACCTGCCAAGGTAGCAGAGACACGCGTGTGTGGCCCGGATATCAGGGGGGCCAAACCTAGCAACTACCACAGGAGAACGGACACGTGCGCAGGGCCTGGACCAGGGGGACCGAAAACATCGCCGACTGCAGACCTGAAGCGCATTACATGGGCGGAGCACGGTCCTGAAGGGCAATCGGACCCGCCCAATAGTGGACACATCTAAAGCCTCACATCGGTCCTACATCTGAGAAAATCAAGCGTGTACCTGATAGTGTACCTCTTCTAAGTTTCCAAAGTTCGGAAGACAGCGTCTTGTTGCACAGTCTTGTGAGTTGTTTACCTATCTGACAGCCCGTGGCAAACCCACCGCAGGCGCTGCAGAACAGGACTGGTAGTGGGATCAATCAACCCATCCAATCTGGAGGGCGTACCTGTGCGTCCTGACAGCCTCGAGCGTCTGCTGGAGCGGCGCGGACTGGGTATTACAAGGCTTCGTACCTTTGTGGGCCTACTGCTGCAAATCAGCGCTCACAGCGCAAGCTGGGGCCCGTCTATACAGGCTGCTGACAATCAGCACATGCCCTCGCCTTCCTAGCTCGAACTGGTCGCACAAGAGGCAAATGTAATACATTCCCTAGTGGTGCCCAAGCAAAACCCAAGACAGAGAATCATAGAACTTCTCGAAATCGATCTGCAACGTAGCGGTAGAGACGCCCATGGCGTGAGCAGACTCCCCAAGCAGCGATCGACTCAAGCAAGGCGGCTCCGAGCGAACTGCTCCCTGAGATGTGGCAGTGTCCCAGGAAGGCAGACAATGAGTCAGACCACTTCGACGTGGTGCTGGACGTGACTCGGCTCCAAAGTTTGGCAACCTCTGAGGAAAAGTCCCATGACCCGCTCAACTCCTCGGGGGGTCCTGCACACCACCACCATGCCTGGCCAGGGCCACCCTGGGCCCAAGGAGGGCGTGCGCAGATCCCCTTGGCCCCGGCCAGGGGGGGCGCAAACGACGCGCCAGGGCCCAGGAGGATCCTGGCCAGGCATGGCGGTGGTGTGCAGGCACCCCCTGTGTGCCCCCCATGACTCGGAGGCCCGGAGCCACCGCAGCCACGGCGAGAAGCGGCGGCGGCGGGGAAGCACGGCCGACGCGGGGAGGGCGCGGGCCCACGGGAGGCACGCGGGCGGCCCGAAGAGGAGGCGACGCCAGCGGCGACGGCGACGGCGGCGGCCACGGCGGCGACGACGACGGCGGCGGCGGCGGCAGCGACGGCGGCGGCGGCGGCTGCGACGGCGGCGAGGGCGAGCACGAAGGGAACGGAAACTGGAGGAAGCGGTTCCTGCACACCTCTCGCCGCCCTCGGGCCCCCGGGGCACTGCACGGGCCCCGGGGCCGCCGGAGAGGAGGGCTCGGGGCGAGAAGCTGCAGCCCCGAGGAGGGCCGCGGGGGGCGAGCCCGGGGCCCCGCTCCAGAGCCAGGGTCGTGGCGAGAGGGCGGCGGCCGCCGCGACGAGGGGCGAATGCAGGTGCGGACGAGGGCGCGGCCAGCCTGCATCTTTAGCGCCAGGCTCCTGGCGAGCAGGGCCTCCCTCCACTGGCGTCGTCCTCCTCGTCGTCGTCCTCGTCGTCGTCATCCTCGTGCTCCACCTCCACATCGTCACCATCCTCATCCTCCTCCGCGTCTCACTCTCTCATCCTTCCCCCTCCTCTCTCCCATTCCCCTCCCCCTCGCCTGACACCCTAGCCATTCTCACCTGCCCCTAATTCCGCGGCTTCCCTACTCGATGTCAGTCTCCCCATACTCACCCGCCTACTCCCCTTCCTCCTCCTCCTCCTCCTCCTCCTCCTCCTCCTCCTCCTCCTGCTCCTCCTCCTCCTCCCCCTCCTCCTCCTCATCCGAATCACCACCACAACCACCATCACCACCAGCACTACCACCATCATCATCCTCCTCCTCCTCCTCCTCACCACCACCACCACCATTACCACCACCAGCATCACCACCACCACCAACATCATCATCAGCATCATCATCGCCATCACCGTTGTAATCATCATATTCATCATCATCATAATTCATCATCATCCTCATAATCATCATCATCATCATCAGCAGCATCAGCATCATGAACATCATCATCACAATCGTAATCATCATCACCATCATCATCGTCATCATCACCATTATTATCATCACCACCATCGTTATCATCACCATCACCCCCACCAACAACACCACTACCACCACCACCACCAACATCATCATCATCATCAGCAACAGCATCATCATCAGCATCATCATCAGCCTTTCCATCAGCATCACCATCTTCAGCATTGTAAGCATCATCATCATCATCATCATCATCATCATCACCATCAGCATCATCATCATCGGCATCACCAGCATCATCATCAACATCAGCATCATCATCAGAATCATCATCATCATCATCACCATCAGCATAAGAATCACCGTCAATATCATCATCAGCATCATCATTAGCATCATCATCATCATCATCATCATCATCATCATCATCATCATCATCATCATCATCATCATTATCCGAATCATCATCACCAGCATCATCAACATCATCAGCATCATCATCACCAGCATCATCATCAGCATCATCATCATCTTCATCATCCCCATATCATCAGCAGCATCATTACATCATCATCAGCAGCAGCATCATCAGCAGCATCATCATCATCCTCATCATCATTAGCAGCAGCATCATCAGAAGCAGCAGCAGCATCGTCATTATCAGCACCAGCATCATCAACACCACAATCATCATCAGCATCAGCATCATCAGCATCACCATCATCGTCGTGATCATCATAATACTCAGAATCAGCACCACCATCCTCATCATCATCATCACCAGCACGATAATCAGCAGCAGCAGCATCATGACAAGCATCGGCATCATCCTCATCATCAGCATCATCAGCACCACCATCATCATCAGCATCATCATCGTCACCATCATCACAACAACCACCACCATCACCACCACCACCATCATCATCATCAGCATGAGCATCAGCATCATAATCATCGTTGTGACGAGCATCATAATCATTATCAACATCACAATCACCATCACCATCACCAGCACCATCATCAGCAGCAACAGCACCATCACCAGCAGCGTCATCATCATAATCACCATTAGCATCATCATCAGCATCATCATCATAATCCCCACCACCACCAACATCACCACCACCATCGTCACCACCACCACCAACATCATCATCATCAGCATCATCATCACCATCACCATTGTCATCATCTCAGCAGCAGCATCATCAGCATCAGCATCATCATCATCATTAGCGTCATCAGCATAATAATCATCTTCAACATCCTCATCATCGCTACCATCAGCAACATCATCACGATCATCATCAGCAGTAGCATCATCAACAGCATCATCATAATCCGCATCAGCATCAGCAGCATCACCAGCATCATCTTTATCAGTAGCATCATCACCAGCACCGGCATCATCATTATCATCAGAATCAGCACCACCATTATCATCAGCATCATCATCGTCATCATCGTCATCACCACCACCATCATCACCACCACCATCATCATCATCATCAGCATCAGCATCAGCATCATCATCGTCGTGACCAGCATCGTAATCATAATCAGCATCACCATCACCATCACCATCACCATCACCATCATCAGCCCCATCATCAGCAGCAACGGAACCATCACTAGCAGCGTCATCATCCCCATCATCATCATCATCATCATCATCATCATCATCATCAGAATCAGCATCATCAGCATCATCAGCATCATCATCATCAGCACCACCACCGCCATCACCACCACCAGCACCACCACCATCATCATCATCATCATCATCATCACCACCGTCATCATCATCATCATCATCATCATCATCACCAGCATCATCATCATGAGCATCAGCAGCATCAGCATCATCATCGTCATCATCTTCATCAACCTCACCATCAACATCATCATCATCATCAGCAGCATCATCGCGACCATCATCATCATCATCATCAGTATCCTCATCATCATCATCAGCAGCATCAGCATCATCATCAACAGCAGCAGCATCATCGTCATCACTAGCATCATCGCCAACAACAATAACATCATCATCATCAGCATCATCACCAACAACAACATCATCATCAGCAGCATCATCATCAGAATCACAATCATCGTCGTGACCATCAGACTGAAAATCAGCAGCACCATCCCCATTAACCATCACAAGCACCATCCTCAGCAGCATCATCAGCAGCATCATCGGTATCATCCTCATTACCATGAGCATCATCAGCATCACCATCACGATCAGCATCATCATCGTCCTCATCATCACCACCACCAACATCATCATCACCACCTCCACCATCATCATCAGCATGATCATCATCAGCATCAGCATCATCATCATCATCATCATCACCGTCGTGATCAGCATCGTAATCATGATCAGCATCACCATCACCATCACCATCACCAGCACCATCAATCAGCAGCAACAGCATCAACACCAGCAGCGAAATCAGCATCAGCATCATCATCATCATCATCAGCATCACTATGAGCATCATCACTATAATTACCACCACCACAACCATCATCACCATCGTCACCACCATGATCATAATAAGCATCCTCATCATCATCAGCATCAGCAGCATTATCATCCTCAGCATCAGCACCAGTATCATCACCATAATCAGCATCATCATCAGCATCAGCATCAGCATCAGCATCATCTTCATGATCATCATCATCATCATCATCTTCATCATCATCAGCAGCATCATCACGATCATCATCAGCAGCATCATCAACAGCATCATCATCAGCAGCATCAGCATCAGCAGAATCGGCATCCTCATCATCATCAGCTCAGCAGCATCATCGTCATCAGCAGCATCATCACTAACAATAACAACAACATCATCACCATAATCATCATCAGCATCACCATCATCGTCGTGATCATCGTCATCATCATGCTCACAATCAGCATCACCATCACCAGCACCAGCACTGGCACCACTATCACCAGAAGCATCATCAGTACCAGCATCGGCATCATCCTCATCAACATCAACATCATCAGCATCACCATCATCATCAGCATCATCATCGTCATCATCACCACCATCACCAGCATCACCACCACCACTACCTCTCCCTCTCTCGCTCCCTTTTTTCTCTCTCTCTCTCTCTCTCTCTCTCTCTGTCTCTCATGATATTTCTCTCTCTCTCTCTCTCTTTCTCTTTCTCTCGTATCTCTCTCCCTCTCTGAATACATGAGTATAAAAAGTATAAACATACATACGTACATACATAAATACATACACACATGCACACAAATACATACATGCATGGATGCATGCATGCATTCATGCATGCATACATACACACACATACATACACATACACATACACATACACATACACATACACATACACATACACATACACATACACATACACCTACACCTACACATACACATACACATACACATACACATACACATACACATACACATACACATACACACACACTCACATTCACATACACATCTACTTACATCTACATCTACACCTACACATACACACACACGTACACATACACATATACATACACATGCACATACACACCTACCTGTACTTGTACATATGCGTATACATACGCTATCTCCCTATTGATATATGTATGTAAACGAAAATACATACACATGCACATGCATGCATACACACATACATGCATGCATGCATGCATGCATACATGCATGCACCCATACACACGCACATACAAAAATACATGCATGCGTGCACTCATTCATGCATACATACATGCAGCCATACATATATATATATATACAAATGTATATGTATATATATATATATACACACATGAATGTATAAATATATATATATACATACATACACGCATACACACATGCACCTACACATACACATACGCATACATACACGTACACATACGCATACACATACACATGCACTTACTCATACACATAAGCACACACATACATAGACATATACAAATACGTAGATAAACATATGTATATACATATACATGCCCATGGTCATACACATATGAATATTGATATACATCTACATGCACATGTACATATACTGATATATTTATATATTTGCATATACACATACATATGCATATGCATACACATATACATGTACATCTACATGTACATGTCCATGTTCTTATACATCTACATAAATGGACACAGACGTACGCACACAGACAAATGTACACACATACACACATACAAGCATGCACGCATGCATCCATACATACATGCACACATGCATCAATACAACCACACATACATACGTACGTACATACATACACATACACATACACATACACGTACACATACGCATACACATACACATACACATAACAATACACATACACATACGCAAGCACATACACATGCACGTACACATACACATACACATGCACGCACATACACATACACATATACATACACATGCACATACACATATACATATGAATGAGTATACACATATATATGCACATAGATATACACATACATGAACATATATATATATATATATATATGTATATATCGACATATACATAAACATACATACATACATCAATGCACGCATACACACGTACATACATACATACATGCATGCATGCATGCACGCATACATACATACATACATACATACATACATGCACACATACATACATACATACATACATACATACATACATACATGCATGCATGCATGCATGCATACATACATACAGATCAGCCTTGTGCGGGCAAGGAGGGAGCCATGGGAGCAGAAGCTGGGGGGGCCCGAAAGGGGGCCAGGAATTTTCTGGCTCGGGGGGGGCGGCTCACCACAGGCGGAGGGCTCCACGAGATCGGCCGGCACGCGGAGGTGCACTCGGGAGCCCACTCGCGGTCGGCTCGGCCTCGTGTGGAGCTGTCGGCGGCGAGCGAGGCACTGGCACCGCAAGAACCTGTGCCTTTCTCGGCGAGGACCATCGAGGAGCATCATGCATCATCTTGCGGAAACTGCACGCACGAAACAGAAAAAAAAATGTACGGGAATGGACGTCCGAGCCATGGCATGGCAAGGGGCACGCCCCGAGGTACTTGTCGGCGGCGAGCCCCCGGGGGGAGGTGAGAAGGGGCGGGCCGTCTTAAAAGGCTCGGAAGTCCCCCGGCCTTCCGAGGAGATTTCCAAGCCTTCGCCGAAGGCACGAAAAAGACTCCTCAGAAGGCCAGGGGGATGCTGAGAAGCCCCGCCGGCTTCTGAGAGGTCCTTCCCTCCCCCCTTCGTTCGCCGCCGAAGTTTACCCATATCCCTGACACTCGGACCCCTGATGCCTAGATGCTTGGTCGCGTTGTCAGCAGACTTTCAGTCAAGCCTCGTGAGGGCCCAGTCTTCTTACCTCCCACTGAAGCTGCTAGCACACGGCAGGAGGTTGACGGTGCCCAGCATGGTCGTCAGTCTCTTTCTCGGGTCAGAGTCCCGTCCCAAACCCATTCCTCGGGCTGGGATTGCCTGGCCCGAAGCGGCTCGGGGCCACCGTTGTTTAGATTCGGGCCAGGTCGTGTTGTGCATTCGATGCGGATGTTTCTCAACAGGAGTGGCTGGACACTTGCTGCTGTACGGTGCAATGCCAGAGCGTGAGCACATGACTGAACAGGCTGTGCGTAACAGGAGGTTGTTTCTCGAAGGGTGGGCACCCTACCAATAAATTCAAATCTCCGAGCAAAAGACTCCCGCCCCTAGGCCCGTGCGTGTCTCTGACCCAGAAGTCTCTTGGCCTGGGTTAGGGATCGTGGAACGGAGGGCATGAATACTCCGATGAGAGAATGCTGCAGTTCGGACCCAGCCGACGCGGCGTGGCACTGCAGTTGAACGATGTATTTCACTAATTCGTTGCTTCCGTTGTCTCCTCCTGGGCTGCGGGGGGGGGGACGCGAGAGGCGCATGCGCGTGCTCCTACGAGCCGTGCGCGCCCCGTCGCAACCTGCCCGTGGTAGCCACAAAGGACCGCCGCCGCCTCTCTCGTCTCTCTTGCCCGGTGCGAAGGCGGCAAGATCACCTGACCTGGGTGGGGGGGCCCTCGCACTCGTCGGGCTTGAGCGGCTGATCCTGCAGGCCCTCCCACACAGGTGTGCGGCATGCGCATTGCGCGACGTGTTCCTCGCAGCGCCGTACCCCCACAATAATCATCATCATCATCATCATCATCATCATCATCATCATCATCATCATCATCATCATCATCATCCTCATCATCCTCATCCTCATCCTCATCCTCATCATCATCGTCATCGTCATCGTCATCGTCATCATCATCAGCAGCAGCGAAATCATCATCATCATGATCATCATCATGATCATCATCATCATCATCATCATCATCATCATCATCATCGTCATCATCGCAGCCGTCGCCGTCCCCCTCCTCCTCCGCATTAGCATCATCCTCACCATCAGCATCATCATCATCATCAGCAGCAGCATCATCATCGTCTTCGTCGTCGCCGTCGCCACCATCATCTTCATCATCATCAGCAGCAGCATCAGCATCATCATAACCATCATCAGCAGCATCAACACCCTCATCATCATCATCATCATCATCATCATCATCATCGTCATCATCATCATCATCATCAGCATCATCATCATCATCATATCATCATCATCAGCAGCAGCATCAGCAGCATCATCGGAATTATCATCATCATCAGCATCAGCATCATCATCAGCAGCATCAGCATGAGCATCAGCATCGGCATCTGCATCATTATCACCATCATCTTCAGAATCAGCAGAAGCATCATCATCATCATCATCGTCGTCATGATCAGCATCATCATCAGCAGCATCATCATCATGATCGTCAGCTTCATCATCATCGTCATCAGCATAATCAGCATCATCAGATTCATCATCGTCATCATCAGCATCATCATCAGCATCATCATCGACATCACCATCACCAGCATCATCATCATCAGAATCGTCAGCAGCAGCATCAACATCATCATCAGCAGCATCATCAGCACCATCGTCTCGCCATCAGCATTATCATCATAATTGCCATAGTTGTCGTCGTCAGCATCGTCATCATCGGAATCATTATCAGCATCAGCATCAGCCTCATCACAACCAGCATCACCATCAGCAGCAGCATAGTCATCATCATCATCAGCCGCCGCAGCAGCAGCAACGGAATCATCATCATGGTTATCGTCACCCTCGTTAACATCATCCTCATCATCATCATCACCATCATCATCAGCAGCATCATCATCGTGGTCGCCGTCGTCGTCGTGGTCGTGCTACTCCTCCTCGTCATCATCGCCGTCGCCGTTGTCATCGCCATCGTCATCATCAGCATCATCATTAGCATTACCATCACCATCACCATCACCATCATAGTTTTCATCATCATGATCCTCATCACCATCGACATCATCACAATGACAGTCACCATAATTATCATAATCATCATCAGAACCATCATCATCGTCATCATCATCGTCGTTGTCATCATCGTCGTCATCGTTATCGTCGTCGTCGTCATCGTCATCGTCATCATCATCGTCGTTGTCATCATCGTCGTCATCATCGTCATCGTAATCGTCATGGTCGCCATTGTCAGTCTGCTCTCCCACTCGCCGCTCCACCGTCTAATCCGTCTAATCCTCAATATCGGTCGTCCTTCCCATCTCCGCCACCTCATCTTCGCTGCCCCTGATGCTCTTCTATCACTATCCGCTCATTTTCCCCAAAACATACGCTTCGTACCCTGCCTCACCTCATCGCACTCCCCCTCCTCCCTCCTGCTCCTCCTCATCCTGCTCCTCCTCTTACTCCTCTTCCTCCTCACCACCACCACCACCACCACCACGATGCTCACCATCATGTGTGACGCACTCCTACAAACGCCCGGCAAATCGCACAACCAATAACTGGAAATCGCAAACAAAGACCTGGGGGGGTGGGCAAAGAGTGCGCGCCCGCATCTTTACTAAGTGCCAACGTTCGCGGGCAGAGGACGCACCGACAGCAGCCACAGTGGCGGCGGTAGCACCATCGCCACCAGCTTACGGAGGATGAGAAGACGAGGAATTCCAGGAAGAGGGCGGGACGTAAAAGCGCGGGGAAGCTGCATCGTCAGGCAAAGCTCCGCGGCCCCATTGACAAAAAAAGCGCTTGGGCAAGAAAACGATGTCATTGATACTTCTAAAGCAATGCTGTCATCATTTGGCTGGATTGAAAACAATAGCATTCGAGTGTATGGCTGAACGATGCTGCAAAATATGTGGCACCATGGCGGCCATCACAGCATACTGCACCAAATCATCTATTGCCGCTGAAATCTGTGTTGAATCCGGGGTAACTCCTTCGTGGGCTCAGGAAACGGGACCTGCTTACCTCCGACGAACAGGGCCGGCTTGAAGCTTTCGGGCACCTCGTCACTCATCACGGGGCTGTTCCGGTAGCGCTCGATGTTCGCCGCCAAGCCCTGCGTCTGGGACTGAATAGCCTTGCACACCTTCGATGACGAGGAATGACACCACTCGCTGTAACCGTCAAAGACCTCAATGAAGTGCTGCACGTTCTTTCCATCTGTAAGGTTCACGAAGCCATAGCCCATACACAGCTTTGTCTTGAAGTCCGTTGGAATGTAGACAAAAACCGCCGACCCTATCAGCGTGGGTGAGGGGTTCTGGGCCGGTCAGCCTGTGGTGGTCCTGGGAGACGCTCTTTAAGTCGAAGTCGTACCTCCCTTCCGAGCGGCTACCTTTGGCTTCCAAGCTCGCCAACCCGAGGTGAATCGAGCCAGGTCGTTATCGACTCGAAGGGAAGCCCCTTCCCTTTATCCATTCCCCGCGGCGGGGGGAGTCCCGGGGAGGTTGCGGAGGGGGTCCTGGGGGGGGCGTCCTGGAAAGGGTCCTTGGTCACAATGTGCTGCCCCCCCCCCCTTCCCGTTTTGAATAATCATCGGACAAACTTGGCCCTCTTAAAAGGGACCCACGACTGCGCAGAGAGGCCCCGAATACGGCCTCCGAAGGCCAAGAGGTCCTTTACAGAGCCCCAGAAGCCCCCAAGAGGCCCCCAAGAGGCCCAAGGAGACCCCCAAGAGGACCCAGGAGGCCCCACAGCGATCAGGCAAGGGCCCGAAGAGGCTCCCTCAAAGCACTCAGGAAGCAAAAAGATGGCCTCAAGAGGCCAATTTCTCCTCCCTATCCTCCTCATCCTCCTCCTTGTCTTTTTCCTTCCCCTCTTCCTCCTCCTCCTCCTCCTCTTCCTCCTCCTCCTGCTCCTCCTGCTCCTCCTCCACCTCCTCCTCCGCCTCTTCCTCCTCCTGCTCCTGCTCCTCCTCCTCCTCCTCCTGCTCCTCCTCCACCTCCTCCTCCCTCTGCTCTTCCCCCTTCTCCCTCTCATCATCTTTTCTCTGTCGTAGCTCCCATCCACAACGGCTGGGGGGGAACACATGGTCCAATAGCTTGGCCAGACTTTGACCCAACGTGTGGCACCTTGGGCGTTCCGAAAGGCAGGGGGCGACGGTTGTTCGACGTGGGCATCTTCGATAAAGGTGGCACAGTGGTCTGTCGCTATCTCTTCTCCACTCTCGAGGTGCTCTTCAAGACGTTCTGGCATAATTCTCGGCCTGCCCTCGTGCGCTCCTCAACTCCCTCGCGGCCTTCCCGTGGCCTTCTGATCCCCACTCAGGGACGGCGGAACCAGCCGTGAGGCATCTCCAATCATAGAGCCCAGCAAACCCTTTCTTGTTCAGAGTCCAAATCAAAGATTTGCGGGTGAAGCCGCATGGCAAATTTCGCAGCATCACTGTGGTAGCCGCCTGGGACTTGGTCGATTGGTGTCGCGAGATGTCGAGAACCGAATCATCCAGAGATTCAGGATATTGCATGGTGGTGCTCACCATCTGCGACGAGCGTGGAACGAACGCCGAAGCCTTGCTGCTGAGGGGTGTGCGGTCGGTTTTGGATTCCTCCAAGGGAGCAGACTCCAGCCTCACAGGCGTAATCTCTGTTTGTGTGAGCGCAGGTTTGAAGTCGCCAATAAAATTGAAACTGCTGAGTCCCACCAGGGATAAACAAGATGGGTGGTCTTCCTCATCGGCGTCAGAGACAACGTCGGCCCAAGTCCCCAAACCAAAGAGTGGCAAGACTGCAGAGGAGTCCTCGCTG